TATTATATTAGAATACTTACATTATATTATATATATACTTCTAATATACACACAATATACTATCTATTATATTAGAATACTTACATTATATTATATATATACTTCTAATATACACACAATATACTATCTATTATATTAGAATACTTACATTATATTATATATATACTTCTAATATACACACAATATACTATCTATTATATTAGAATACTTACATTATATTATATATATACTTCTAATATACACACAATATACTATCTATTATATTAGAATACTTACATTATATTATATATATATTTCTAATATACACAAAATATACTAGTTAATATAATATAATACATACATTATATTATACGTGTACTTATTATAATACTTACATTATTACGGAAAATGATCAAATATACCCTTATACTATTGAAAATAATTTAAATATATCTTTCGTTATACTTTCGATTCAAATATTCCCCTCTAATTATACTTTAACACAAAGATTCAAATAACCACCACCAAATTTAAATACCCAAATGCCTCTAACGTAATTCGCGGTTTTTGATTACGAATTACCAAGCTGGAGGAATTTTGGTCCTCATGCGCTTCGTCCTATCAGGTAACAAGGAAAGCGGTGATAAATTTTTTCACTATTCTGACGGCTGTGTGGTGGAAGAGTTGCCACGTGGTGATGATAGTGGCGGCGGAGGCGATGATAGCGGTGGTGGAGAAGGTCCTGATCATAGATGGGTTATATTAGACTATGTCCAATTAGTTGTAGTTAACGCACAAATTTACAGGAGGATTGCCTTTGTGCCAAAATGAGATTAGGCTATAACATTTTTACTTCCATTAAGCAAGCAGTAGAATCCATCACTTAGTAAAATGCAAGAAGACACATGTGTATCAGCTTTTCCTAGGAATGCAACTATTTCGGATTTTCGGACATTGTAGAATGCTTGATTTGACATGATAAACAAAAATTTTCCCACTCGTTCCTTCTGGGAATCTGAAATAATGATTTGAACCCATTAAATTGTTGTTATGTTCTACTTTTCAGCTTGTTACCCTTTTTACTTATACTTGCTTGTGTGTTTCTAGACGTTCACTCACCATTGTTTTGACTACTAGAACGAGTGGCGGAAGGGCCTCAAAGCATTAAGAGCTGACACAGTACAGAAATTGAAAAAAGCACTTCCAGAACTTGAGAAGGAGGTACTTACCATATTTTGACTTCTGTTCATGCTAAGTGAATTTTTGGGTACCCTTCTGCTGTGAGGAGTGTTGTTCTATTCCTGCTAATATCCACATTTTCTTTTCTCTAAAAGGTTAGAAGGGCCATCAAATTTTGTGGTACTGCTCGACAGGTATGGTGCAACCATTGTCGCCTGTTATGTAACTATTAAGTTGTGTTAATCCATGGAGGGTAAGATTCAATGATCAGCTTTAGACCGGAAAAGAGAGCAAAGATGAAACAGAGCAGAATAGCTTTATAATATTTTAAAATATATAATTAAATATAAGGCTTTGAAGCTGGGAAGAACAACATGTCTTCTTATGTTGGGTTTAGTTTTTGTTTCCATGTAGTAACTATTTCTTAAATTGTTTTCCCATTCGTTTCAAGTTCCGGAGGCTAGCTGTGAAAGTAGGGATATTAAATTGGATCTTTGAACTTTGTCTTCTTTTCTTCTGATTGCCAGTTTTTTTTTCTTCACTCTTTCCTAGAGGAGAAGCAGAAGAGCATAGACATTGAGAGCATTTGTCTCCTGTTGGATCTCGTTTTAGGGTCTCAATTTCGGCCCCAAGTTGACTCTCTGATTCAGTATTTGAGAGTGAGTTACCCTATGTCTCCTCTTGCTATTTAATTGTCCGATTTTTAATTCATTTAAAATGTCCATTTGGTTGGCAGGGTATATTACAAGAACTATATAATTGTTAGGTTTTACTGGGGCTAATCTGATAATGCCTTTAGGATGCTTTTGGAGCTCTTTTTAGGGTGAAAATTATTAGTTTGACCGAAAAATCGCAGTTGCATTCTATGGCTCCTTTAATTGTGGATGCTCATTGACCTCCCTGTAAAAGGGGACTGTCCTATTGAACATCATATGCTGCTTTTAGTCACTTTGTCATATTTTATAACCCAAAGAGGTTGAGTGAATAGGCAGAGTAAAACCTTCTATATTATAGTAATAAGTAGACTTACGTGCTTGGTTACTGATGCAGACGCAGATTGATTATAAACATGGATCACTGGATGGGATTCTTTAGGTTTGTTAATGAGGTTAATCTTCAGTCTACTTTGTTCATTTTTTTTATTTATCCTATTTGTGTCATCATCTTATATGAGCAATCTGGTTGTTATCTGATAGTTGCTTTCATCAGAAGCCTTGTGGGGACTTCGAGGTTTGAATGTTAATTGATTAAAGTCTTATCTCTTGTCTTGATGTTTTTATGCAACAGATAAGTTTTCCAGACTTGAGCAATTATGACTCGACCCTTGCTTGGCCACTGATCCAGGATAATTTTGTCGAGTTAATGAGAGAAAAGCAGGGCAAGGAACACTGTTGTTCGGCATGTCACCATGTGCACCAAATAATTTATTTATCTGAAAGTATGTTTTCTGTTTCCATATAGTGAATGAATCCTGAAATTTGTTCGAGAAAGTTTTGCTGATAATACAAGTATCATTCCTGTGCAGGAGTTGTTCAAACCGCACATCAAGTTGTGCATACCATTGTTCCGAAAAATACCATTGTTCTGAAAAATGTTGCTTTCTTCCCCTCTCCTCCACCCTTCAACGTGTATGCGAAGATATAGAATGATAAGTGGATCTATTCTTTCAGATAACGGCCAAAGTCATCTGCGGCCCCTCAAAGTTGTTCTCATTATTCATTTAGACACCTCAACTACACCTATTACCTATTGAACACCTCTACTACCCCAAATTTGAACCGTCTAAGCATTTTTTTTATCAGTTTTCATAAATTGTGTGGCGTGTGTATTTAAGTTCCCCACGTATTTCCGACGTGTCTAGAATAACCATTTAAAAACTACTACGCGTATCTGACATGTATTTGTAAATGTCTTAATTGGGGAAGATTCCTACATCGTTAACTTTGACAGAACACTTTTCTCTCTTCGCGATATCTTCCAAATTGAAACTCTCTATCTTTGCGATTTTCTCCAGATTGAAGTTGGATTCGTCTTAGGACAGAGCCACCTTAAAGAGACTTTCTTCTGTTCTAGGTTTCCACAAAGCGGTATCAGGGAAGATTTCCTCCAGATTGAAGTTAGATTCGTCTTGTTCGTGTTACGATCTTGAAGATTTCCTTGTGTAATTTAATATTGTTAATGATTTTTACATGTTTTGTTAAATGAATTCTAAAAAGCTAGGGTTTTGTCAAATTATAGGGCTTGTGATTTTTGCGAATATTCTATCCCTTCTTTACTATTACCCAGAAAATATGCTTTAAAGCTTTGTTTTTTAGTTGTTGTATGGGTTATATGAGTATACTCCGTTATCTTAAGCTAGAGTTTGTTTGATATTTTGTAGGGCTAACAATTGACCATTGAGGAGATTATATTTACAAAGATTTACCATGGTGGAATCTTATCTGAGATATCTGTCCCTACTTATGTTGGAAACTGTGTGCCTGCACTCAAGTTTATTATTAAGGACCACTTTTCCATTTACTATTGTATTATACTAAAGAATTGGGGTATGAAACTGTTGGAGGCTTTTATGTGAAGGATTTATTGAATAAAAAATGGGTCTTAATTACAACTGACCAACATCTCGTACACCTAATTAAAGACTTAAAACATGAGGACACTTTTGAAGTATTTGTCTGTCATGTATTAGATGAACCCCTTACTTGACACTCAAGGACCTAAAGGCTATCTAACTAATGTTGGTGGTGAAGGTGTTGATGTTGACCTTGGTGAAGAGGGTGAGGCTGTTAACTTAGGTGGAGAAGGTGTGGCTGTTGACCTAAGTGAAGAATGTGAGGTTGTTAACCTTGGTGGTGAGAGTGTTGATGGTAACATTGGTGGAAACGGTGAAGATGTTAGCCTAGGTGGAGAGGGTGTGGATGATAACCTAGGTGGAGAAGGTATGGATAATAACCTAGGTAGAGAAAGTGAATCTGATTTCTTGAGTAGTGATTCAGATCTAGATGTATTCAGAAGATGGTTCAGATATTGATGAGAAGTTGAGAGCTTTTAGACAAGAAAGAATAAACAAAAAACAGAGAAAAAATGTAACTAAATTTGAAGAAATAACAGTTGGAGAGGTTGGTGGTATAGATAGAGGCTTTGAGGATATTGAGAAAAATAAAACTGACTAATATGCAGGAAAATTAGGTGGAGATGAGGATTATATTGATAGCTATGACTGTTGGAGAGATGATAGTGATGAACAACTAGATGTGGATGTTGTTAGGGGAGTAGATATACCTGCTAGAAGGAGAAGCAAAAAAGTTAGGTATGATGAAGATTATGAAGTTTCAATATTTGAGCTTGGAATGGTCTGTGAGGGTGCAAATCTGTTCAATAAAGTAGTGGCAGGTTATGCTGTAGAGTAGAGGAGGCAGATAAAGTTAAGACCTAATGAAAAACATAGAGTGAGGGTGAAGTGCAAAAATGCTAACGGTAAGTGGTTGTTATATGTTTCCATTGATAGGGACTCAGGTGATTTCGTTGTGAACAACTATCATCATATTCACAAGTGTATTCCATTAAACAGGAACAAATTGTGCAATTGAAAGTTAATTGCTAGAAAGTTTAAGGACAGAATTGTATCTCAACCATACATAATAATTTGGGAAATTCAACGTTTGGTTAGAAAGACATTAGGTCTTTATGTTGGTAAGACTCTTTGTTACAGGGCTAAACATATGATTATGAAGAAAGACATGGGTGATTAGAATGTGGAATTTGCCAGATTATGTGACTATGCAGATATGATCAAACAAACCAATCCTGGAAGCTCTTGTTGGGTAAAAATTGATAAGGAAACTGAACCAGGAAAGAACCTTTTTGTGTATTTTTATGTGTGCTTTCATGCATTTAAGCAAGGATGGTTGGAGAGGTGTAGGAATATAATTGGATTTGATGGTTGTTTTCTTAAGGGAGCTTGTAAGGGTGAGCTATTAGTTGTTGTTAGAAAGAATGTGAACAATCAAATGTATCACATTGCCTAGGTAGTTGTGGATACAGAAACAAAACATAGTTGGAGCTGGTTCATAAGTTATTTAATTGTTGATCTAAACTTGGGAACTGGTGAAGGTTTGACTGTAATGTCAGATAAGCAAAAGGTATTGTTTACATAATTTCTTATATTTTAGTTTTAATTTGATCTTTACTATTTCAATTACTTATTTTGTACATATTTTTTGTTAGGGACTTATTCTTGTCTTGTTAGAGTTGTTATCAAATGCTGAGAAAAGGATGTGTGGTAGATAAATATGGAGTAACTGGCATGTGAACTGGAAAGGAGAAAAAAGAAGGAAACAGTTTTGGAGATGCTCAAAGGCCTCATTTGAAGTCAAGTTTGGAGAAGAAGTTCATGCAATGTCCCAGCTAGGTAAGAAGGAAATAACATAGGACTTGCTACATTATGATCCCAAAAATTGGTGTGCAATGTCCAAGCTAGGTAAGAAGGAAATAACAGAGGACTTGCTACATTATGATCCCAGAAATTGGTCTAGGGTATTTTTCCAAACTCACTCCAAGTATGATGTTGTAGAAAATAACATGTGTGAGACTTTCAATTCCTGGATCTTAGCTGCTAGACATAAATCAATTATTACCATGTTAGAGGATATTAGGCATAAAATGATGAACAAACATATAGACATGATCAAATTTGCTGAAACATGGATATCAGACATTGCACCTATGGCAAGGGTAATACTAGAAAGAAACAAGGAGTATTCAAATAACTGTAATGTCCAATGGAATGGGTTGAATGGTTTTGAGATTAGTGAGGGGGAATATTCATTTGTTGTTGACTTGGAGAAGAAGCATTGTGACTGTAGGTTGTGGATGTTGAGAGGTATTCCTTGCCCTCATGCTATTTGTGCTTATTATTACTTGAATCAAGATCCTGATCAACATGTAGAGCACTGGTATAAGAAGGAAACATTTCTCAAGGCTTACATCCATTTCATGCAACCTATTCCCAATATGATGATGTGGCCTGAAACTACAAATTCATCAATAGAGCCTTCAAAACCAAGAAAAAATGCTAGGCAGACCTGGCAAGAAGAGAAGAAAGAGTAAGGATGAGCCAAAAAAATGGGGAAAACTTTCAAGAAAAGGAGTAAAGATGACATGCTCCATATGCAAGAAAACTGGACATAACAAAGTCGTGTGTGCAAGAGTAAGTAATACTTTATATTCACATTTGTAAATTGCTTAAAGTTTATATATATTATAATCATATATTTTATTTTGTGGTGACATAGTATGGGAGGGGGAGCACTTCTCAACCTACAAGTCAAGGAAATTCAAGCCAACAAAGTTATTCTCAAACATGAGTAAGATTTGATTTACATATTCATTTGCATTCATTTTCATTGTATAAGTTATTCATATCTCCTTATTTTTGTTCAACAGGTTAGAACACAATCAAGTCAACAAAGTTTTGTTTGTGCTGATACCACTGCTGTGCCAAGAACTACTCAAACAACAGTAAGATTAGATTTAATAATTCATTTGCATTTTCTGATTGTTCTACAAGTTATTCTTATATCCTTATTTATGCTATATAGTCTACAATGGGAGGTCCATCACATTTTACTTTCAGAACCACATATGCAACTACACAAATAGCAGTAAGATTAGATTTAATAATTCATTTGCATTTTCTGATTGTTCTACAAGTTATTCATATATCCTTATTTATGCTATATAGTCTACAATGGGAGGTCCATCACATTCTACTTTCAGAAACACATATACAACTACACAAACAACAGTAAAATTAGATTTAATAATTCATTTGCATTTTTTTATTGTTCTACAATTTATGTTATATAGTCTACAATGGTAGGTCCATCGCATTCTACTTTCAGAACCACATATGCAACTACACAATCAAATCAACCAACTTCTATTTCTGCCGACACAATATCTGTGCCAATACCTTCTTAAAATAGGGTTCAAGTTGGG